TCTATGCCCCGCCTCTCTCAAACATGTCGTTTTCAACAAATCCCCCTCTTTTGACAAGCGCAGTCTGCTCTGATTGGCCAGCTGACCCAGTGCATTGTGATTGGCCGAACACCACAAGCACGCGTCAGAAATGTAACGCCCCTTACCATAATCACGAGCTTCAGCTTTCAAAGTAAATATCAAGACAGTTAATAATGTCGTTAGTTTTACCATCAGTTCAAGCCCGAAAGGGCAACAGAGTTGCATGATAGACACTGTTTCAGAAGCGCCAGATTGTCATAGCAAAGTCGGAATTGACCCTTTTTTTTGAATAGCCTTTGTGCACAGCCAGCCTTGTACTCTTCTAGGTTAAAAAAAACTGTCGTCCATAAAATGCATTGCACAAATTCGAACATTTGGGTTGTGCTGTTCTGTTGTAAATAAATCTTAACCAATGATTCCTAATTGCATCTACTTCCAGAAAAGCCCAAATAAAGTGCTTTTGCTTTCGCACTGAAACACACAGCTCTCCCTGACATGGCTGAATCAACACTACTGCTGTTCCTGAAACCACACCTTCTTTCTTTGCGTGCACATTTGGGCGGCATTATGCTAATATTTCCACATAGTGACGTAGACATGTGGGGGCGTGTTAGAACGAGGCATTTAGGTAGGCATGGTTGACTATTAACTTTTATAAAGAATATCTCTTTGGATTTGAGACTTTAGTCTTTGCAACTTTACAGATCTTCTTTATGCACCAAGAGCTTGTAACACTCCAAAGAGAAAGGAAAAATTGAAATCGCATCATATGACCCCTTTAACTGTGTTCTATTGTCCACTTTCTGTCTCATGGCAAAGAAGCAGTTTGTAGAAAATTTAATATGTTTATAATATCTACATGTACAGAAACCTCAAAAATTACATCCAGTTTAAAGAGATATATAAAGGTAACTCTATCGCCCCCTTGAGGTTTCTTAGTGCTGTAGTCATTTTTAAGCGTGCATGTGTGTACAATGGTTTTTAGTGTGTGGGCTAAACATTTGGGTCAATGTTTGCATACATTCAAAGAGTATATTTGTGGCCTTAAAGCAGGGTGGGGCACTCGTTACGCAACAGCAGGATGCAGTACTAGAACCACTGGGCAAAAACTGTATCTCAAATGTTTCTCATAGTCACAAGTGAGATTAAATGAAAAGCAAATGAAAAAATGTGCTTCGTAATCTCACATCTATCTCAGAAGTGTTTCAGAAGAGTTCTAAACAATATCAAAATAAATAAAATAATAAAAGTCCAAATAATGGCCAAGTCAGAGATTTCAGATTGAAGACCAATACCAAATTATCTTAACCATGTACTGTACATTAATTTCCCCAGTTCTACTTCTACTATATGACAACATTTTGCATTTCTCCTAAGGAATCTGAGACAAATCTAATACTTCAGTGATCTATGGAAAAACAAAAAAAATTCCTAATGCTAATTAATTCTTCATTTTTGTGATGCCTAATGCCTAAAACTAATTTTCATACAATATTACATACAACATGTTTATAAGGATACTAATAGGAATGCACAACATGTCTGTACCATAATAACTTTAATTTAGTTGGCATCGTCGGTATTGGATAATTAATTGTTCACACTCATTTCCCCTATTTTTACATTGAGTAATTTTGCCATCATCTAACACTCACTTAAAAATAATCTTCTAATCTTAACCCTAATAATTTAATAACACTGTAAAATGTCATCTTTAGCAAATCTCAAAATGAATATCCATTTTTCATACTGTACCCAATGACGTGATGCCAAAATTTACTTACTATTGAAAAATTATAATTTTTAGTGTATTATTTTAATGTATACAAAAAAGGCTACATAAACAGGTATAAATAATAATAATAATAATATTGATTGTATCATGAAAATACTTATGAGCTTATATCGGCAAAACAAAAGAACCACAAGCAACAGCTTTATCATAAATCTATAAATACTCACAATCAGTACAACTCAATTTGAGTTTTATAGTTTTGAGTTTTAGTTTATCTGTTTCTCATGACTGAGCATTATCTCCGCAGCTATCTAAATTCTCATCTGCAGTCATCATGGCATATAAAACATCACAGCAACACATTCAATTACGAGTCAGAAGAGGATGGATGGATATGCCAAGAATTGTGATCACTGCGGGGACCTTTCGAGTCACTGACTCTAGTGAGTGAGTCTCTCCAACTCTGTTTACCCAGTAACCCCTCTCTCTACACCCACCTCACCACTGACAGCGCCGTCGCCTAGCAACCCAACACCACACGTGCACTCAGAGTGGGAAGTTGGCCGAGTGAGACAGAGAAAGAGGTGGTGGACAAGTAGTGTGAAGAGGTGAGAGAGAAATAAAGAGAAAGGAGGAAAGAAAGGGAAATATTTGGGGTTCAAAGGCATCTTAAAGAATTAGATCACTCCTGAATTAAAATTTCCTAATAATTTACTCACCCCCATGTCATCCAAAATGTTGATTTCATTCTTTCTTCAGTCTAAAAAAATTAATGTTTTTGGGGAAAACATTCCAGGATTTTTCTCCATATAGTAGACTTCAGTGGTGGCCAACGGGTTAAAGGTCCAAACTGCAGTTTCAATGCAGGGCTCTACATGATCCCAGCCGAGGAATAAGGGTCTTTTCTACCAAAACAATCAGTCATTTACAAAAAAAAATTAAATAAAATGATGTTTTGCACTAGCTCTGTGACTTCATGCTTTACGTAATCATGTTGAAAAGGTCACTTGTGGTAAGTTCTTTGTCTATGTATTTTGGTTCAAAACGGTAGGGTAGGGAGAAAAACTGCATCTAATTTTCTCCTCCAACTTCAAAATCGTCCGACATCGTTGTTTTACCTTTTTTTGTAAAGGGAATTTGATTTTCTTTGCATGTTCACTTTGTAAACACTAGGTCGGTACTTCCACCTACGTCACGCACTTTCCAACATGATTACGTAATGTGTGAAGTCGAGCTAGTGCAAGACGAGAAATTGTGGTTAAAGTATGTAATTTTTTTCTTCTTAGAAAATGACCAATTGTTTTGCTAGATAAGACCCTTATTCCTCGGCTGGGATCGTGTAGAGCCCTTTGAAGCTGCACTGAAACTGCAATTTGGACCTTCAACCTATAGGCTCCCACTGAAGTCCACTATATGGAGAAAAATCCTGTAATGTTTTCCTCAAAAACCTTAATTTCTATTCGACTGAAGAAAGAAAGACATGAACATCTTGACATAGGAATGAGTAAAATATCAGGAAATTTTAATTCTGGAGTGAACTAATCCTTTAAAGCAGCTCAATGAGAAACACGCATCTGATGAGGAATAATAAGTGCTACACTCCTAAAAATAAAGATTCTTTATTGGCATCTATGGTTTCATGAAGAATCTTTACCATTCCATGGAACATTTCCATTACACAAAAGGTCCCTTATAGTGGAATAAACTGTTCTTTAAAGAAAAAAAGGTTCTTTAAAGAACTGTTCCCTGAAAAGTTCTTTATGGAACCAATATTTTTTGCTGTGAAACCCCCTTTTTGGAACCTTATTTTTAAGAGTGCAGGGACTAAATGAGATGTATGAGATGACGTCAAGAAATCACGACAGAAATGCAAAACATTTCTCTCACCATTACTGGAGGAAGACTTGAGTCTCTGGCATAGGTCCTCTACATCTCCATAGCTGTCCTGAATTTTCTGCAAGGCCTCGGCTCCTCTCAGCTCCATCAGGGACCGGAGCTCCTCCAACGTAACCCCAAAGTCCCCAGCATGGTTGGCTTCTGCGCCTCCTCCACCCCGCTTGGGGTAAAACTCCACTGCGCTATTTGCCATCTCACCCATGGTCGCCGTGGTGGACATCTTGAGTCTTAGGTTGTTGGGTCCACGATGTTTGATCTATATGACTTCTTCTCGTCCAGGAGGTTTCAGCAACACGAGGTCAGTATTAGTGACGATTCTTGGCTCAAATTTTTTGGTTTCGAATTTGTTCTTCCACTCCTCGCCCTCCCCGGTAGTTCCTCCTGTTCTTCTAACTCTCCAGAGCCCTTTGAAGCTGCACTGAAACTGCAATTTGGACCTTCAACCTATAGGCTCCCACTGAAGTCCACTATATGGAGAAAAATCCTGTAATGTTTTCCTCAAAAACCTTAATTTCTATTCGACTGAAGAAAGAAAGACATGAACATCTTGACATAGGAATGAGTAAAATATCAGGAAATTTTAATTCTGGAGTGAACTAATCCTTTAAAGCAGCTCAATGAGAAACACGCATCTGATGAGGAATAATAAGTGCTACACTCCTAAAAATAAAGATTCTTTATTGGCATCTATGGTTTCATGAAGAATCTTTACCATTCCATGGAACATTTCCATTACACAAAAGGTCCCTTATAGTGGAATAAACTGTTCTTTAAAGAAAAAAAGGTTCTTTAAAGAACTGTTCCCTGAAAAGTTCTTTATGGAACCAATATTTTTTGCTGTGAAACCCCCTTTTTGGAACCTTATTTTTAAGAGTGCAGGGACTAAATGAGATGTATGAGATGACGTCAAGAAATCACGACAGAAATGCAAAACATTTCTCTCACCATTACTGGAGGAAGACTTGAGTCTCTGGCATAGGTCCTCTACATCTCCATAGCTGTCCTGAATTTTCTGCAAGGCCTCGGCTCCTCTCAGCTCCATCAGGGACCGGAGCTCCTCCAACGTAACCCCAAAGTCCCCAGCATGGTTGGCTTCTGCGCCTCCTCCACCCCGCTTGGGGTAAAACTCCACTGCGCTATTTGCCATCTCACCCATGGTCGCCGTGGTGGACATCTTGAGTCTTAGGTTGTTGGGTCCACGATGTTTGATCTATATGACTTCTTCTCGTCCAGGAGGTTTCAGCAACACGAGGTCAGTATTAGTGACGATTCTTGGCTCAAATTTTTTGGTTTCGAATTTGTTCTTCCACTCCTCGCCCTCCCCGGTAGTTCCTCCTGTTCTTCTAACTCTCCATCAGAGGAGGAAATCGGGACAAGGACAGCCGGACACTTCTAACGTATTTGGAGAAATCCTGTCCTCTCCACTCAACCCCCTCGCCCCTAGGGTCAACAGTACGAGGGATCAGGCCGCTTCCAATCCATCAGGACACAGAGAACGAGAGCGAAGAGGGGGCGCAAAACCAAGCAGGATATTGTGTAGATCTGATGCGTTAGGATTCAAAGGGTGCAGGATGATGGGATTGGTGAGGAAGCCTGCAGAGACACACAGACAGAATAACACATTACAGTCTTCAAAGTGCTCGTGTGGGCAGCAAGTCAGAGTACAGTGGGCATTCCTTAAGAGACGGAGCGAGCATGCAGTCAGACTGCTCCGAGCTAATGCTTTCAAACTTATCAGCACATTTTCGCCTTAATTCAAAGGTCTTTTGTGTCTTAATTGAGTCACACACTTTCCTTACTCTCATTAATGAGGTATTAGACAGGTCTTGGCGATATTAATTATGCTAAACGGACAGGTCAGTCCATTTCGAGCGCAACACGACTAAAATCCCTGGACAGGTATAAAGTATGAGGAATGTGTGCTCTCGCAGATGGTGACGCATATAACATATACTGTATCTCTAGCGATCCAGACCACTGCATTGGCCCATAGTTGCCATGGAAACCTACAGATGCCTCTGACTCCCACAAAGCTCCTTTGGCCTCGCTATATCCCGACACACACATATATACACTTGGTTCTTATTCACACTTGCTCACAAACACAAACACCTCTACACTAGCACAGAGTTTCCTCTCTATCTCTATCATTTTGGCCCTAATGCCATCATCTTCTTTCTTCGTCTTTCTTTTTTTCTCCTTCCATCTCCCAGCATGCCTCTGTATATGTCCCTATGTTCTCTTAGATGACAGTGTCAGCCTCAGACGGCACGCCCACAGACCACAGTTTATCTGGAAACAAAGTTGTGTTTAGGCACCGGGTAGATAAATATAGTTTTTAATCATTACAAATATATTTAAAATTTAAAAATGTTTTTAATAATCCAATTAAAAATTAATTAAACATTTTTAAATTAATGAATGAATAATTCAATAAAAATATAGAAATTAATACATTTTTACATGCTTGTCATTATTGTGGAATAAATTAGTTCAGATAAACCTGCCCTGAATGACAAAAGGGGAAAATAGTTGGCAGTTTACATGTCGGTAAGGGTTTTTCATCAGTCTGTCTGGAGAAAAATTTGCCAGATCAGTGTAATCATTTCAAATCATTATAAATAATAAATTATATTAAATTATATATACTGTACATACATACATACATTGGTTGATTCTCCCCAATTCGTCTTTTTTTCCTTCCTAAAAATGCTATTGCGTGTCATACTTTTCAGAAAGAAAGATTTCAAGGAATATTCAAGGAATATTTGTTCTTTCTCTTTGCTTTTTATATCAGTACATTTAATGATCACTTTAAAACAAGTTTAATAAAAAGTAATCTAAACATAATCTAAAAAGTAGTCAGAACACATTACCTAAAATAAGTAACTTAGATTATGTCACTAACTAAAGTTTTCATCATGCAATCTGTAATCAGTAGCCGACTACAATTTGTAAGTAATCTACCCAGCTCTCTCTCTCTGTCTGTCTGTCTGTCTCTCTCTCTGTGTGTGTGTGTGTGTGTGTGTGTGTGTGTGTGTGTGTGTGTGTGTGTGTGTGTC